CCCTCGGTTTCTAGTAATTTTTTACACATTTCTCATTTATAGTTTAAATAAATAATTAAAGAAATCAAAGAATTAAACAATATTTATTTATTTAATTAATTAAGTATTTTTGTTAATTTTAATTAGCTCTAACAACATAGGTTCAGATGGGGCGAAAGCAGTTGCTTCCGAAATAGCTAAATGTACTAATCTCTCCACTTTAACCCTCGGTTTCTAGTAATTTTTTACACATTTTCTCAATTTATAGTTTAAATAAATAATTAAAGAAATCAAAGAATTAAACAATATTTATTTATTTAATAAATTAAGTATTTTTGTTAATTTTAATTAGCTCTAACAACATAGGTTCAGATGGGGCGAAAGCAGTTGCTTCCGAAATAGCTAAATGTACTAATCTCTCCACTTTAACCCTCGGTTTCTAGTAATTTTTTACACATTTTCTCAATTTATAGTTTAAATAAATAATTAAAGAAATCAAAGAATTCAACAATATTTATTTATTTAATTAATTAAGTATTTTTGTTAATTTTAATTAGTAACAACAACATAGGTTCAGATGGGGCGAAAGCAGTTGCTTCCGAAATAGCTAAATGTACTAAACTCTCCACTTTAACCCTTTCGCTCTAGTAATTTTTTACACATTTTCTCAATTTATAGTTTAAATAAATAATTAAAGAAATCAAACAATTAAACAATATTTATTTAATAAATTAAGTATTTTTGTTAATTTTAATTAGGTTTAACAACATAGGTTCAGATGGGGCTTAAGCAGTTGTTTCCGAAATAGCTAAATGTACTAATCTCTCCACTTTAACCCTCGGTTTCTCGTAATTTTTTACACATTTTCTCAATTTATAGTTTAAATAAATAATTAAAGAAATCAAACAATTAAACAATATTTATTTAATAAATTAAGTATTTTTGTTAATTTTAATTAGTAACAACAACATAGGTTCAGATGGGACGAAAGCAGTTGCTTCCGAAATAGCTAAATGTACTAATCTCTCCACTTTAACCCTCGATTTCTAGTAATTTTTTAAACATTTTCTTAATTTATAGTTTAATTAAATAATTAAAGAAATCAAAGAATTAAACAATATTTATTTATTTAATTAATTAAGTATTTTTGTTAATTTTAATTAGTGAGAACAACATAGGTTCAGATGGGGCGAAAGCAGTTGCTTCCGAAATAGCTAAATGTACTAATCTCTCCACTTTAACCCTCGGTTTCTAGTAATTTTTTACACATTTTCTCAATTTATAGTTTAAATAAATAACTAAGAAATCAAAGAATTAAACAATATTTATTTATTTAATTAATTAAGTATTTTTGTTAATTTTAATTAGTAACAACAACATAGGTTCAGATGGGGTGAAAGCAGTTGCTTTCGAAATAGCTAAATGTACTAATCTCTCTACTTTAACCCTCGGTTTCTAGTAATTTTTTACACATTTTCTCAATTTATAGTTTAAATAAATAATTAAGAAATCAAAGAATTAAACAATATTTATTTATTTAATTAATTAAGTATTTTTATTAATTTTAATTAGTAACAACAACATAGGTTCAGATGGAGCGAAAGCAGTTGCTTCCGAAATAGCTAAATGTACTAATCTCTCCACTTTAACCCTCGACCTCGAGTAATTTT